CTGAGTTTCTCTGCTATCAAATTTCAGTAGTAAGTTAATACCAGCAAATGTTGTAGTCAGAGACCTCTCAGAATATTCTTCACATATATTGGATTGCCTGAAGTTTCCAAACACTATATTGTTCAGATAATTAAGGAATGTGCTATTGTCGCCAAATCAATAATTACATGTGCAAAAAGGTCTTTTTTTGGCCATCACTCAGGTTGGGCATATCCAAACAGTGAATGTGAATATTGAAGATACCATTTGGCCTCTTCCTAAGGACCAAATACTTTTACTGACCTATTGATGTAACTCTTGACATATCCAATTGAGGGATTATCTCTCGCTTGTAAAGAAAGGCCCAGTTCTTTCTCACAAGGGATACTCACATGATGGAGAATTGGAGTATCTGGATTGGCTGAACCAAAGCAGGCACTAAATAGAGAGTAGTTTCACCAATGACCTTGTCATATAGGTGAAAGTGTTAAGCAAACATAAAAATTATTGAAGCAGACAGAGAAGACAGAGTTTATTTCAAAGTAAAATAGTCTCTGTTTGTGTTCGGTTCTGCTGTTCTGTGAACGTAACCTACTTCTTGAGGTGGTTTTGAAATTCCACCAGTCAGTTTTTCAGTACTAGACTTGGGTATAAATGAACAGATAAATATATTCCTTTCCATTACCTGATGGACAGAGAGTACTTCACAAACAGTTTGATATTGATTTGGAAAGTTTATAAAATTTTTGGGTAATTGAAAACTGGGTTTAGTTTACCTCTAAGGCTTCCTAGTAATTTATTCAATTTAATTATTAACTATTTAAATTATAATTGTGTGATGAATCAAGATTCCAGTATTTCTGGATGAGAGTATTTCTGGATTAGATTTCTTGTCTGTGTAACCCTTCTGGAATTCAGATTTTAAAGCAGTTTGTATTTCATCATGCTCATCTTACTGAATTCAAGGGTGTAACAAGCTGATGAAAGAAACACCTTAAGTACTACAAGAGTTCAAAAACTACTTGGGTTATTTGAAGGGTGCCTCTTCCTGATGAAATCTACTTGTCCATCAGATCAGGAGAGGTTCATGGCAATCCATCTTTCAAGAAAGGAAGTAGACAAGGTCCTCAACATTGTCAGCACCACCACCTGTCAGTAAGTTCCTTGTCCCTCTGAATGGTGACAGTGACTAGGCAATGATTAATTTGTCACTAGAGGGGGGATATTTCTGGAGGCTTTTAAGGAGACCTTGGTTTGCCTTCTCCTTAAAAAAACATCACTGGACAACTTTCATACAACTGCCCAGACAACTTTCATCCTTTCCTTTTTGATGAAGGTTGTGGAAAATGTAGGGACCAGACAGCTTCAGAGGGTCCTGGATGAAGCAATTGGAAACGACATTGGTCACACTTGATGATCTTTGGTGAGAGTGGGGTCTGGTTATTGCAACCATTCTTGCTCCCCTTGACTTCTCAATGGCTTTCAATACCATTGACGATGGTATCCTTTTGAGTCAGGTTGGGGGGATGCAGCTGGGTGGCATGGTTTAGTGCTAGTTCAGCTCCTTTCTCAAAGCTGGTTCCAATCATTGTTGATAGGGATTGAGAGGTCCAGCCCTTGCCTTGTGGTATTCTGCAGGGTTTGCTACTGTCTCCACTCCTTTCCATCATTCATATCAATCTGTTGTCCCCAATTTGGGTCTGAGCCTGGTGCTGAAGCCAATGACCAGGTGCAAGTTTTCTGATTGCTTTTTATTGAAGTACTCCAAGGAAAAGGGCTCCTGGCCAAAATGCCAAGAGCCAAGAACAAAAGATTAAGTAAGCTTTATACATTTTCACTCAAGGAGAAGATGGGACAAAGTGAGATAATAAGAAATATCTACAATTTGTTCTATCGGTCTCTAGCTGTCTCTATTCCTAAGCCTTGGCTAATGAATGCCCTAGGAGTTATCCAGTACACATTTGAATTGCTGTGGGCCATCTCTATTCCTAACTTTTAGCTGAGGTCTGTAAGTTGCGTAACTCTTGTTACTTTTATCATCTTTCTAACTACCCAGAATTGTTGCAAGATTTACACATGCATATTTCCTGTGGATAAGCATTCTTTGTTCTTGCCAGACTGACTCCACAATTACAGTCTTCCTGATTTACTTTCAAGTGTGTGCCATGACCTGGCTTTATGTTAGCAGACAGCCCATCAAATCCATATGGGTGAAATCATCTATCACCATGGGTTCAGGTGTCTCTATATTGCCACACCTGGTGACCCAAATGACACTGTGGCTGCCCTCTTGCAATGCTTGGAGGCTGTGGGACCTGGATGGAGAACAACAGACTTTGACTGAATTCTGGTGAGACCAACTGGCTTTGGTGCATAAGGCCCTGATATCTGGGACTTGTCATCTTTGAATATGGATGAGGTGGCACTACTCTGGTTCACAACATGGGGGGGTTGGGGTTCTCCTGGACTCGCAACTCTGCTCAAAGAGCAGGTGGGGGGTCATGGCTAGGACTGCACAATTTTGGGTTGTGCACCAATTGTAGACTTTCCTGGAACAGGAATCCCTGGGCTCTGTTGTTCTGGACCTAGATATCCTATGATTGGACTATTGTGATGTGCTCTATATGGGGCTACCCTTGAAGAGCATTTGGAAGCTACAGCTGGTGCAGATTGCAATGGCTCGGGCAGTTCTTGGGACCCACAGAATGCCCCATATAACATCACTACTCTGTGAGCTGTATTGGCTGCCAGTCTGCTTCCAGGTGCAATTCAAGGTGTTGGTAATCACCTTTGAAACAGTTCAAGACACAAGACTAATTGAGGGAGTCTCATCACACTGGATTGGCCCTTCCCACCTGTGCTGGCATGCTGCAAGCCTGATTATTCTGGCTATTCTGATTATTCCTTCCTAGATGTCTTAGTATATAAAAAATCCAATGGCTCCCTAGGACACACCATCTACCAGAAGAAAACACATACAAACCGCTATCTACACGCACTCTCACACCACCACCCAGCACAGATCAATTCTGTAGCCGAGACACTCATCTCCAGAACAAAATGCTTAGCCGATGAACAACACCTAAAAACCGAACTACACACTCTCACTAACGTACTAACAGCCAATGGATTCCAAAGAAAGATTACCCACCTAATCCAAAAAGAAACCCCAACCAAAATCCAAGACAGAGAACAAGAGAACGACAAAGCCCTCCTCCCATATATAAAAAGCACTACAGACAAAATCAGCAAGATCCTCCAAAAACACAACATTAAGAGAGCATTCTGCACAAACAGAAAAATATCCACCATCCTAAGAAACCCTAAAGACAAAATCGAGTTAGAAAACCAAGCAGTATATGAAATCCCTTGCACCGCCTGTTCCACCACATACATTGGACAAACTAAGAGAAATATAAGTGCACGCATTGAAGAACACAAGAACTCAATCAAAAAAGAAGAACCGACCTCTTCCCTGGTCCAACACCTCAAAGCCACAGGACAAGAGATTGACTTTAAAAATAGCAGAACTATCACCAAAACTGAACACTTCAACAACAGAATAATCAGAGAAACCATAGAGATAGAAAAACACCCACACAACATGAATAAACGAGATGACACCTCCCGCCTACAAGCCATTTGGAAACCTGCCCTCATAAACAGACGAGTACCTAACATGAAGAATGACACCAGACCCACACCCACGAGGGCCACACAAGATGCTACCACCACACTTCCACGTAGAAAGCAGACTCACACCCACACAGAAGAGGAGACACGACCATGGACCAGAAGCCACACCGCAGCTGCATCACTACCCGCTTCAAACCCCTCCGACCCATACATGAAGCAAACTGACACCCACCATGAAGATGCGGCACGACCACGAACGTGAAGCCAAACAGCAGGATCACAGCTCACCAGCTCAAATCCCCCAGCAACTAACCTGAGCACAACCAAGTCCCCACCTGAACAGAACACACCCCCAGCCAATCAGAACATAGCCAACCCCCCAACCAATCAGAACACAGCCAAACCCCCAACCAATGAGAGCACACCCCCACCCAATCAGAACATAGCCAAGCCCCCACCCAAACAAGTCACACACCCTTAGCAGTTAAAAGGAAGAAGCAGCTGCAAGCTTACATTACTCTGAGAAGCACAGAGACGAAGACACAAGCCTGAAGATGATGAATGAGACTTCATCGAAACGTCGCCTAGATACTTCCAATTTTACGCGGGAGAAAACCTGAATAACCAAAGATCCATTTATATATATGTGTGTGTGTGTGTGTGTGTGTGTGTGTGTTTTCTGAGTTCTCGTGGGTATTTGTATGTGGATCTTTGGTCATTTGGGTTTTTTCCCACGTAAAATTGGAAGTATCTAGGCGATGTTTCGATGAAGTCTCATTCATCATCTTCAGGCTTGTGTCTTCGGATTTGTGCTTCTCAGAGTAGACACAAGCCAAAGACACAAGCCTGAAGATGATGAATGAGACTTCTTCGAAACGTCGCCTAGATACTTCCAATTTTACGCGGGAGAAAACCCGAATAACCAAAGATACACACACACACACACACACACACACACACACACACACACACACACATTGTAAGCCACCCATTACCTAAGGGAGAGGCAACCTAGAACTAAAAATAACTTTTCTGTGAGAACAATTAACTAGTGGAACAGTTTGCCTTCAGAAGTTCTGGGGGCTTTTAAGAAGCAACTGGACAACCACTTGTTTGAAATTGAATATTGTCTCCTGCTTGTGCAGAGGGTTGGACTAGAAGAACTCTAAGGTCCCTTCCAACTCTGTTATTATTATTTTCTTATGAAAGGATTTTTACTTTGGATAGTTATATAAAAGGCAAATGTCCATGTTTTCAACCCAACTTATATGTACTCTAAATTGTTACAATGAATGTACAAAAACAAGAACTTATTTGAACACAGAGTCCAAAGGTAGAAATGTTAGTAATTATTAATCCGAATTGACAGCAGTAAAATAACACATTGATTTTTTTAAAAAAAGGATTAGAGAAAGTATGTTATTTAGATGAGACTGGGGCTTCAGTTAGCCTTCTTCTTGCAATCTTGTCTCATTTAAACAGTTTCTGGGAATTTTGAAGAGGAAAACAACTCAGAGGAGGATGGAGCTAACGTGGACAGGAGTTCTGCTTCTTCTCTGTGTACTTTTCATCCTTTTCTCATCTTTCCAAATGTACCAGAAAAAAGGGCAGCTGCCCCCTGGACCTACTCCATGGCCTATTCTGGGGAACCTCTTGCAGCGAGATGTACTACCTTTGTATTTACATTATCAAAAGGTAAGGCTAGTTAACTATTGTACTTCATCAAAGTTTCTGATGATTACTTTGAAAGATACCTATACCTTCTTTAATTGAATTAGTTTGATTTATTCTATAAACAACTAATTTTATTTGGGGGCTCATGTGTATCTTTAATGGGAATGATAGTATAAAGTCACCTTGTAACAATCTGATAAACCTGCAATGGAAGTTTCAAAGTTCATTAAAATATGAAGTAACAAGAAAACTTTAGAAAAATAAATGTATTATATATAAATATTATATATATAAATATTATATATAAATAAATTTAAACTTTAACCTTAGACTGTCTACCATTGACCTCACCCCTTTCCTAAGAGGTCTGTAGGGGGCGTGCATAAGCGCACCAACGTGCCTACCGTCCCTGTCCTATTGTTTCTCTATTCTTTTATTTTTCTTATATGTACCCATCTCATGTATTCACAACTATGTATACACTTATACTTATTATCTTGTAAACAATTGACAAATCAAATAATAAATAAATAAATAAATAAATAAAAATAAATAAATCTATGAACCTCAAATTTGCTTCATTTGATTTAGCATCAAATTCACTGAAACCTCCTCTTCCTCTAGCTCCCCTGTTTGATTCCAGGTTCTTGAAATGCAGATACAACCTCTGTCCTAACAAACTTCATCTGGGCTGCAAAAATCCAGATGATCATTAAATGCCAACAAAGACATACAGAAACACAAACTCTTTCCTATAGTATTATAGAAATCCAGTTCCCTGAAGCCCATTTAGGTTACCAGAGATGGTTTATCTTCATTTTGTTCCTGCCTCCATCCTTCAAATGGATCAATTATTCTCTTCCATGCACAGTTTTTTCACCTGTAACCTTTAATTGTTAAAAAAATCAAACAGCCCATTAGTATATTCTATTTCACTAGCCCTCTGTAATATGATTCCTTGCACATTGTTTGAAGCATTCCTATATATTCTTTCCTTATGTCCACTTTCCATTCTGTCTGTTGGGAAATTGATCTCTATATATATCTTATTATTTTTCATGAAATACATCAAATTTTCTTTTTGCAATAATCTTACATTCATTCCTACCTTTTTCACTTCTTTCCTTTTCTTCTGAGTCCATTTTGTTATGGCCTGTCCTTATGGATTTCTTTATTTATAGCAAGAGCACCAAGAATTATATACTGTTTCATAGTATTTTACTGCCCTCTCTAGTGGTTTATAGAGTTGGCATACTGCCCACAACAATCTGGGTCCTCATTTTACAACCTCAGAAGGGTGGAAGGCTAAGTCAACTTTGAGCCTGGTGAGATTCGATCTGCCAAATTGCAGGCAGCCTGCACTCTGGAGAAGTAGCCTGCAGTACTGTATTCTAAGAACTGGAGACTAAGACATATAAAGAACGGTTGCTGGGATTGGGTATATCTAATTTAATGAAAAGAAGGACTGGGGTGACATGATAGCAGTGTTTCTGTGATGACCCGAGCCGTGGCACAAAGATAACATAGTCAGATAATCAATAAGGGTCCCTGTATTATCTCCAATTTTGCCCCCAATGTCCAGGTTACTTTCTGGCTGGAGAAAAATTCTCCCAGGAACAATGTTTGACTGCAGAAAATTAAGTCCAAACAGGGTAAACGCAAACTGTAACTTAAAGTCCAAACAAGCCAAACTGAACTGCTTGGCAGGGCAGGAGCAAGAATTTCAGACTTGAAAGCACAGCAAAACTCACACAGTTGGGAAGACTTCAGGAACACAGATAAGCCATGACAACACAAGATACACAAGATAAAGTCACATTTGCTCCCAACAGCCTGCCCCATGCAGTTTGCTTTTTTTTAATAAACTGTGTTCCCAGCTGTGGCTAATGAAGGGAATCAGGGCCCTTTCCTCCCCTGTAAGCCACGCAACCCACATTACTCTCTTCTCCATTCCTCCCTGCATACCCTAGGATGAAGAGGGGGTGGGCCTGGGTCTTCCTCTGAATTACCTCTCTCTTGTTCTACTTCTTCACTGTCTGCCCAGCCAGACTTTGCTCTTTACCAGTTTCCTCCACAGCCAACGGAGCCATACTCCCACTCCCTGTCAGCTGTTCAGCTTCCTCCTCGCATTCGGGCATGACAGTTCCAATACCTCAGGGGCTGTCACAAACAAGAGGGAGTCAAGTTGTTCTCCAATGCACCTGAATGCAGAACAAGAAAGAATGGATGGGATCTAATCAAGGAGAGAAGCAACCAAGAAATAAGGATAAACTTCCTGATAGATAGAACAATTAATCAGTGGAATAACTTGTCTCCAGAAGTTCTGAATGCTCCAACACTGGAAGTTTTTAAGAAGAGATTGGACAATCATTTGTCTAAAGTGGTGTAGGACAGGGGTGTCAAACTTACGACTACACATTGTTGTCATGTGATGCATTGCAACTTTTTTCTCCTTTGCTAAACTGGGGGTGGGGGTGGCCAGTGTGTGACACATCTGTCCTGCGGGCCGTGAGTTTGACATCTGTCCTGTGGGTCATGAGTATAAGGTTTCCTATCTGACCAGGGGGTTGGACTAGAAGAACTCCAAGGTCCCTTCCAACTCTGTTATTCTGTTTAGTAATATTTCTGTTTGCATTTAATAATTTTTGCAAACAATCAGCATTCACATTAACAAAATTCATTGTATCCTTTCAAATTCTTTAACCTTAAAAGGAAAAAAGCACTTTTTCCCATCCATTTTAAAACATTAAACTTTTTAAAAAAATGTTTGTAAAATCAGTAAGTTCTAATACATCTTTTTAAAAATTTCCTCTTAACATACACACTTTAAAATTTGCTTTCAGTAATATTTCACAAGCTTTAAATATTTCTCAAAAATTATGTATAAAAGAAAAAAATTTTAAACTCATTTTATAAACACAAAGCACAAGCTGCATTAGAGCTTTCTTTCAATAAGATAGATCAAACCAATACAAAACGAACTAACTTCAATTAACTCAATAAATTTAAATCAGTCCTTCCAAGTTATCCTTGTAGAATATTTTTTTCTTTTTGTATACATTCATTTAAAAGACTCTAAACTTTTCTTTCAATTAATACATCTTTTTATTTAACTGCCTCTTAGCATAGATACTTTCCAATACACTTTCAGTAATATTTTACAATCTTTAGGAATAAGTTAAGCACTATATATAAAGAAAAAAAATGCATTTTCAAACCCACTTTATATTAAAGCTTTCTTTCCATTACAAATATCAAACGGATAAAAATCCATCCTGATTCAAATAGACTCATTAAGTTTAAATCACTCCTTCCAGCTTATCTTGATAGAATAAAATTTTTCTTCTTCTCTGAAATGTCAATGAAGTAATTATAAACTTTTCTTCTTCTCAAGGATTTCTCAACTGTGTTAGTATCAATAAAGAAAAAGTCCCAAACTTGTCCTATTGAAAATTGCAGATTTTCTTGAAACTCTTCTTTCAGTTGTGTTGGGAACCATCATAATAAAGATTGGTATCAGGTTAATATTCCAAAATTGCAATTGGTTCCTTTACATTGTCAGCTATTTGTGAAATTGCTTGTTTAGTTTAGTAGATTTCTACACACAATTGCATCTCTGAAGTAGTTTAAATAGTTTTATTTTAACATCCTTGGAACATAGCTGGTCTGTTTTATTAAGAATTTTTCAAATACATCTCCAATGATTTATTTCTCCATCTTCTTAACTTTAGTCAAAGAGTATGGGTTTTTTTTTTATGTCACTTAAAAATTGTTGGCCAATCAGGATTCATAAAAAATAGACAGTTTTAACTACCCACAGAAAAAAAGACAAGCTACAAATCATTTACAAATAGAAACCTAGAACCACAGCTTTCTACTCATATTTCACCATCAAAGTTTAAAAAAAAGATACTTCACACTTCCTTATTTTAGCTTCCCTTCAGTATCTTTCTTACTTGTTGTTTAACAATAAAAAAATCCCCAAAATGGCACAGATCTTCAAAAAGGAATAACAGGATGTGGCTAAAGAAAGTCTCTTCTAGCTTAATAAAGATTAATAATCCTTAAAATTGATTAAGAAATGAAAGGCACAACTTACTATCCATTTGAAAAAATACATTCCAAAAATTGCTGCTTTTCAAATAAAGTGATTGCAGCCCTGCCCTGCCCCCAGTTGCCGACTTACCATGCTCTGAAGCACAACTCCTGAAACTAACTTGCAGACCGCTGCTGTATGGAGGATCAATGATTCTAGAACTCTCCCTAACCCAGGAGAGTCATATAAACTAAAGGTTCCTTCTGTTGGTAAGTTGAAAAAGTGACACTCTAGAGAAAAACCCTTCTCGGGAAACTGCAATGATCCTTCCCTGGGTGTGTTGTCAGTTGGTCATCTTCACCAGAAGTCCCAAGGCCTGTCCTTGACACAACAAATAATCACTTGACCAGCTTTAAGAAGCTCTCATCAATAGTTTTCAGGCTTAGTTTTACCTTTGCAACACATAACTTTTTTTTGTTAATGGTAAAAATAGAACGTCTGCATTTTGACCCTTTTGTGCTAGTATATCAGAAGAATAACCAAAGTACAGTTTTATTTGGAGCAGCTCAAACTATTCTCTGCAAGCTAGGTTCTATAGTCCACAGATACCCATGAAGGCCAACATACCATAATCAGTCACTCATCAACTAGAAGTTTTATGCCATGTATCATAACCATATTGGCGTAATTGGTAGGAATTAAAAGTTATTGAAGTTTTGGCAAATTTAAGAAGTATTTCAAAAATACTTTATAATAATTTCATCAAAAATGCTTTATTACCTAATTAACTGGATTTTCATCTAATTCTACCCTTAGCTTGCTGTGAAATATGGACCTCTCTTTACTGTCTGGAATGGATCACGACCAATGGTTGCTCTTTGTGGGTACAAGGTGGTAAAAGAAGCTTTGGTAGATCATTCAGAAGAATTTGGTGGGCGAACTGAAATGCCTACACATAATCGAATGTTCCAAAATAAAGGTTGATCCTCTTTCATTTTTTAATTAGTTATTGTTTTTCTTTAATTTTCTGTACAAATTATCTGAATGCCATTAATAATATTGATAGTTGTGAAAGTTTCACTTGAAATGTCTTGTAGAGATATACATTTGGTCATGCTTCTTGAAAAAGGAAGAAAATGTTTTTTCACTATTTCCTTTCCAATGGTCACTTCTTAAGTCTGCTCAGATTGTTGCTTACATGCAAAACAACAACAACAAACAATAACAATAATTTGACCTTTAAATTGGTCCTTTGGAATACATATAAAATGGTTTACCGATGAAGATGCTTTTTGGCTTATGCTATCTGGATTAATGTTGAATATCAATTTCATGTACCTTCAAAATCATTTGGATTTTGAAGAAGCAAGATAGAGAAAATTTATTTTTATGTTTTATTTATTTATTTGTTGAGCATGTATTAGATAACAGACATAAGTATAAAGATGATTATTAATACATGAATGGATACAAATAAAAGGGAACATTAGGACAGGGACAGTAGGCACGTTGATGCGCTTAGGCGTGCCCCTTACAGCCTTCTTAGGAAATGGGTGAGGTCAACAGTAGACAGTCTAAGGTTAAAATTTTTGGGGCTTGGAGAAGAAACCACAGAGTCAGGTAGTGTATTCCAGGCATTAACCACTCTATTGCTGAAGTTGTCTTTCCTGCAATCGAGTTTGATGCGGTTTACCCTGAGTTTGTATCTATTGTGTGCTCATGAAGCTGAAGTAGTCATTGACGGGTTGGACATTGCAATAGATAATTTTATGTACCATGCTTAGGTCGGACCAAAGGCAGTGGCATTCTAAGTTGTCTAAGCCTAACATTTCAAGTCTGGTGGCATAAGGTATTCTGTTGTGAGTAGAGGATTGGAAGACTCTTCCCATGAAATATCTCTGGACTCTCTCAATTGTATTAATTCCTATATGCAATGTGGGTTCCAGACAAATTATATTGATGTCTTTAATATTGATGTCTTTAAGATTTGATGTTGGAGAAGATTCCAGAGAAAACTCTTGAGAATATCATGGATACCCAAGAAAACAAACCATTGAACAAATCAGTCCAGAATTTTCACTCAAAACACAGATGACTAGAGTTAAATGATCATATTTCAGAAAGATTGTACAAAGGCCTAGCTCTCTAGAGAGAGTTGTAATTGTGGGAAATGTTGTAGGAAGGATAGATGATGGAATTAGTTACAATGATGACAACTATATCAAAGTCCTCAAGAACTAGGTGGGAGAGAAGATGTAATGGACAAAATCTATGTGGTTGTTTATAATTGACAGTGACTTGATGGTACATAATCAAACAACCAAGTAAGAGAGCAATTGGAAGTGACTTCTTTTTTGTGTACAAAAGCTCTACTATTCAAAAATATCTGAACTGAAGCAACTCCCATTTTTCTCTGCTTACTGAAAATTGCATCTTAGTATAGAAATCTTTCCATGACTGGTCTAGAAATCTTTCCATGACCTGTCCCTATTCATATCACACTTATAGTAACTTGTGACATGATTTCCACAACCTCATTCATTCTTCTCTTAACATGAGAGTACTCAAGAATGAATAGATGAAAATTCTGCACTTCATCTAATTAGCAATTCAAGCATGAAGGCTTGTTTTCTTTAAGTGTGGGCTGGGGAAAAATGGTAATGTATAGTTTTTTCCCCTTCTGCAAAATTTGAGAACTGATATCACAGTGTGATCTATATCCCATGTCTTTGGTTTCAGGTCTGACCACTACCGATGAGAAGAAATGGAGGGAGCTGCGACGGTTCACATTGTCCACCTTGCGCGATTTTGGGATGGGGAAGAAAAGAATGTCTGAGAGGGTGCAGGAGGAAGCTCTTTGTCTGGTGGAGGAAATAGCTACCACAAAAGGTTAAAAAAAAAAAATCTGGAAAGGATTTGTTGCATTAAACTAAGTTGCAGGAAAACTAGATTGTAAACCTAAACTCAAATCCATAGCACTTAAATGCATGTAATAAAGAAAAACTTAGATAGGCAGTGAATGTCCTCCCTCCCTTTTATTTTCACAGTATTGTTCAGAAGCAAAAGGAAAAGTACTAGAGCTATTTCTCTCTCT